CTGGATTAAAAAAAAAAGACTTATATCTAATTATTTGTGAGGTTTTACCAAAACCCCGTTAAAATAAGTCAAATTTCATACTTGCAATAAAACTTTTCTGAAATAATAAAAATAAAACGTTTCTTTCATATCACACTTTGTAGCTGAAATTTCCCTATAAATTCTCAATTCAGACTTAGACCGAGGATAACTTCTAGATATACGTTCCTATCCGTAGATATGGAATATTATCATTCTTCAGTACCCTATTACAGCCATCATCATCACCATCACTACCACCATCACCATAACCATCATCACCATCATCATCATCCTCACCATCACGGTCATATTCATCAGCAGCAGTAGCAGCAAGTTAAGGTAAGTTTTCTAATCTGATTTTTATTTTAGTATTCAACATTGTTATAATACTAATCGATATTATAAAGGAACAGTTTTAACGCATTAAAACTATTTTGACTCTTCGATAGTTCATCAGCCTTTCCATGGCATGATCATACCCTGGTTTGTCCTGGTTATATCATTATGTTTTGTCCACAGTGAAAAAGTATATTGACGTCAGAGCTTTGATAGTCTCTGTTTTTATGATTAAGCAGCGGTGTTCATAAGAAGTGAATCCTTAAAAATTCTAAAGATCTACTCCAAAATCTTCAATCGCAATCTTTAAAAATTTACAGCAAAACATTTGATTTTTCTACGCTTTACACTATTATTACTAATGCTCAATTGGAAAGATCGACTACATCATCTTATCAAAAGTAGCTTATTCTACAAAAATGGGAAATGTAGATACAAATTGATTGCTTTGATTCATAAAAAAATCTTACTTTGTGAAGAACCAAAAGATTGTAAAAACAAAAACGCCGACAATTATTAAATTTAAAGCGATGGACGTTTTACTCGATGACATATTTGTTGAGTTAGGGGAATTGCTATTTCAATGCAACTTCTATATTACAATAAGGTATTTTTTTGTGCAATCCTACTGGCTGTCTATTTTTATGTACGCATATGACACAGTGCATATAGAACTTTCTCAACGACAAAAAATGCATCTTTGAAAGTTCTGTAATTTTCATTTTGTTTTGTCAATCTATATCTCTTATTTCAGTAAGTGATTGCATCTCATATATACCAGTGAACTTTAGATAAAGGCTACTACCGAATTTAGAAGGCCTGTCTGCGTCCTGTCTTGATTCTTTCTCTGATATTGAAGCAGACAGACTTCAAAAAAAGATTCTATGACAAACGTGATATTTCAATTTTCCAATTGCCAACATTCCATTTCTCAGCAGTAACAAACCCTTTGACCCGTCGTTTGGCGTTTACATTTTTCAGTAGATACTCTATGCACATGTATGTTTCAGTAATACATTTTCATTAAAAGTCTGTTCCTCTTACACAAAAACTGTTCCAGCAGAGTTCTAGGGAAGTTCGACTGAGTTATTTTTGCGATCTTATCTCATCTCATCTGAAATTTTACCTATTGTGTCCTATTCCCGATTGTTATATTTTGACTTAGTGTGGTGGTTGTACATGGCAGATAATTTATGTGTAGTACGTGACGGTCATCCCGTCGTCGAACCATGTGCTTCATTTTGGATATGTGCAATACCCTCTGTTTTTATTTGTAACCTCGATGTGCAAATCAATTTAAGTTATTCAAAAATCAGTAAACTACTGATGGCTAAACTAAAAATTTACTTTTAAACATTCACATATGTGATACTGTTCTTTTATGTCTTTTTTTTTTAATTGTGTTTGTTGTATAGTTGGAAAGGTTTCAACATTAATGTGCGTCTCTTTGGGGTGATTACGACATGATGTTGAGCTTTTTCTATCGAAATATGTGTCTTATTTTAGAATAATTGTATTTCTACTGGATTACACTGTTTTTCAATGATGGTACTTAGATTGACTGATAATCCATATAAACTGAAATGTGACACATCGGAACATCTAGTTACAAAGTCTAAAAGGGAGAGTGTGCATTTTGCAACAAATACTTTTAGATGTGGAAAATTGTATGGAACGCACCAAATTGGGTATGCCTGACATGTTTTTTGATTAACGATGACAATCGATCAAAAACTTCAAGCTGCAATTTAAATTTAAAATGATTAACCTTCATTATGGACGCTCAAACCCCAATATGTGAAAGCCAAGAATATTAAAATACCTTAACATACTTTTTTAAATCATTGAATATGGTAGACTTGAGTTTTCAAGTACCGCACAATTTTATGGCCGTTTAGCAAAAATTTATTTTCAAGTAGAAGTGTCAAGATCTGAAGTTATTTAATGGTCCTATAGTATCAGTAGCTAATTACCTACTATTTAAGTAAACGGCAAAAACTTATTGATTTATTCTTATAAAAAAAAAACTAGAAAAGTTTCATGGGTGCTTATATTCCATTATCTTTATCTATAAGTTTTAATAGCACAGTATCTGATGAATATATAACACATTCGTATTGAAATCAAAAAGCAAATTTGACTTCTTTCTACCAGAATCGTAATATATCTTAAAGAAAATAAAAAAAACAAAATTTTCATTAAAAACATCGGTACAAAAAAATTAAATATAAAAAAAAACGAACTCCAAGGAAAATTTAAAATAAAAAGTCCTTTATCGAATGGCAAAATCAAAAGTTCATGCACATCAAATTGATGGAAAACATCTGTTGATTAAAAGCTTGCAATTTCTATATGGAACATAAGAACATTTGCGTTGACTAAATATCATTCCGAGTAAAATAATTAGAATAAAAAACACTTTTACAAATAACCTCATCATAGATACCGGGATTAAAAGTTGTTTACGTCAGACGTGCTTTTCGTCTGCAAAAGATTCATCAGTGACGCTCGAATAAAAAAAGTAAAAGAAGCCAAATAAAGTAATATATGGATTTACTTACCGGGTAACATTTGGTAGGTTATAAGATAAAATAGTTATGATCGGAATATTATAATTTCGTATTAAATTTAAATATTTGATTTGACACGAAAATAATAAATCAGTATATTGGACTAGACTAGCCAAATAAATAAGAGATCTGCATCATCTTGTCATTAAGCATATTATAAACAAAATAGAAGTTGTAATATGTATCTGAAATTAAATTAGATATTCGAAAAAAGAAAGTATAAGAAAAATAAATTGTATAGCTGCTCATTGTACGAAAATAAATAAACAACATCCTTAATTGTGTATTGAGGATATCAAAGATCTCGTTACAAAATTGAACAGATGTTTTGTCAAAACCTACCAAATCATATTTTTCAAATAACTTTATCAAATGTATTTTGTTAAAACAGATTTTTGTAAATAAAATCTTTCATATAGTTTTTAATTAACTTTTGTACACTTATTCATATTTTAAGATACACCATTACTTTGAAGGGAAGTATAACTCATTGGAAGCTGAATGTTCTTTTATAAATCTTGGCTTATAGTTTTTTTTTCATGAAGTTGAAGAAAGAATATGAATTATTAAACAAACGATATAAAACAAAATCTTTATATGCTGATCCATCAAATATTATCAGCAATCAAAGTCAGGCTTCAAAGTTTTTGTGAAACTATCTATTCTAGAGGTGGCGTGAATCAGATGTGGATACTAAAAAAATCCAAAGAATTTTTTTAGAGTACATACATTCGAAGACTAAGAATGCAATAGTTTTCAAACAATTGACTTTCTACACTTTACACAAGTATTGTCCATTCCAAACTCATAGATAAATTGAAAGAGTTCGTCCTGCTGTGTTTCATAAAAAAGAATGGCTAACATAGATACAAGTATCTGGTGTTAGTGAGGGAAACATCTTAATTTCTAAAAAATCACTCTCATTCAAACAAAAAATTCTCTGAAACTGAAATTATCTAGATGATTGATTTCTTGATTGACATCATATGTGTTACGGAAGACGTGTTTTTCAACAATCAATCGGTATTCCCCTTGGAACCAACTGTGCTCCTCTTCTTGGCAAATTGTTCCTTTATTCATATAAGGGTGACTTTAAACAGGAACTTCTTATGAAGAAAAAAAAAGGTTAGAAGTATCCATTAACCTCACTCTCCAATATATACATAATGTTCTCTGACTACATAATTCAAAATTTGTTCTATCCCATCGAACTTAAGATAAATGATACAACAGATAAGTATGCCTCCTATCTTGACTTACATCTATAAGTTGACAATGAGGGTGGGTTCAAAACAAAACTTTACGACAAAAGAGATGATTTCAGCTTCCCATTTGTGAACTTTCCATTTCTATGTAGCAAAATTTCAGCAGCGCCTACATACGGAGTATATATCTTCCAGTTGATACAATATTCCAGGTCCTGAATTTCCTATTATGATTTCCTTGATAGACTGTTGCTGCTCACAAGGAAGCTATAAAATCAAGAGTTGTGAGGTTAAAATCATCCCTTCGTAAATGTTACGGACAGCATTATGAGTTGGTTGATTAATATGGAATATCCGTTTCACTTATGACTTGGATATGTTTCTCGAAAGAGATTTACCGAATAAGACATATAACCAGGTTTGTACTTCATCAGCAACACGACGGGTGCTACATATGGAGCAGAATCGGCTTACCATTCCGGAGCACCTGAGATCACCACCAGTTATTGCTGGGTTCGTGTTGCTCAGTCTTTAGTTTTCTATGTTGTGTTTTGTGTACTGTTGTTTGTCTGTTTGTCTGTTTTTCTTTTTTAGCCATGGCGTAGTCATTTTTTTTTCGACTTATGAGTTTGAATGTCTCTTTGGTATCTTTCGCCTGTCTTTATATACAAGTTGTGTGCCAACACATCATACACTATTTGATATTTTCAATTTGTGCATCAATCATGGGTATGCAAAATCAAGTTGATATAGCTCAAAATTACAACTTTGAATCACTGACTATTATATATAAATTTTCAGTAGTATAAAGTAAAATAACAAAAATACCGAACTCCAAGGAAATTCAAAACGAAAAGTCTCTTAACAAATGGTAGAATCAAAAGCTGAAACACATCAAACAAATACAAAACGCACAATGCGGTACAAGAAGAATTAGATCTTCATCGTTTACCTTAATATGCTGAATATCTGTATTGGTAATGTGTGTATAATATCTACCACGAAAAAATGTGATTTTGCATAAAAAAAGATTGTGTCAAAACCGAAGGTACATTAAAAGAAGAAAATGTACTTGTATGAATTTGAAGCATTCTGTAATAGATGTGTGACACACTGACAAGTTACTCAGGATTCTTCATTGCCATATAGGGCCTGCTTAATATTCCCGCTGAGCTCTTAAAATCTTTGTTTTTCTTTCTTTGTTCTTTGATTTTTCCCTTTTTTCTTATTGGAATGTTTGTGGTGGGAATTTTTCCTTATCAACCACACAACCCCGTATTCCATAATAGTTGATAAAATTTCCCCACACTCTGTTGCATTTTAATAGCTCCTTATTTCCTACAAAATATAAAAACAGAAATGACATGTAGAACTACACATTATCAGTTGGCGGATAAGACATTGTCCTCGTCCTTTTCGGAAGTGAGGTTATAATACATAAAACTTGACCGCTAACCATTAAGGGTGACGTTTTTTGGTAGTGTTACGCTTCAACGTTATCAAATCTCGTTCAGAGTTTTTGTGTCATAGTCTACCTAATTTGTAGAAAGTTAAACTTTAAAGCATTAAGAAATTGACCATCAACTGTTATATTTTTCACAATTGTTAAAGTAAATATATCAAATGATCTGCGCAATTTTTTTTCAAAATCTTCATAATGTCTGTTTCAAATATATGCTACACTATAGGTTTAGCATTCACCTTTTACAAATAAATGGTGTTATGAAAAATCAACAGTCAACCAAAGCTGCTTAAGCTGGAAAACTGTTATGTCAAGTCTTTCTTTCTGCACCTGGCATCTGAATTTGTTCGTTTATTTTCAATTTATTATGCTACTGAAAAAAACTTCAGTTTTTGAAATGTTGTTATACTACATGCTTTCCATACTAAATTAATTACAATTAAATATAATCAAAGAGTAGGTAGTATTAAATCTCATCAATGAAGCTATTTTAATAAAAACCATACATACCCCAGTAACGACAGGTCTGTAATTGTCTATTTCCATGATATTTATTTTTTTAGACTCTATTCAATTAAGAGCTTTACACGATATAAAGACAGATGTCTTTTATTGAAGACTATATATTTCCTGGGTTATTATTTCAGTAACGTATACAAATTATTTCTTTTAAATCAAGGGTATGCTACATTTGAACGAAATCTGTAGATTAAATTACAAGTGGACTGCTTAGAGGAAATTATTTTGAGAGCAAGAGACGCGCAAAAATTTGACAATATTGATATAGCCTTAAAGGAAGAAACAATCTATTTCAAATTAACTTTGCTTGCGGTCGTTTGTGATTTACATTCAGTGAACACATTTTCCTGTTTTCCATTGATTGTTCCCAATTCATATTGAACGTATGATATTTCCTTCCTTATATTTATAATAAATTGATGTATAATATACTAAAACAATACATGTATCTAGCTGAAAAATTCTCTCGCGTATCAGCAATCATGTCTAGAACAAGAAAGATCCAGCATTCATTTTCAGTATGTTATATGCGTCTTATTCTGAGTAAGAATATAAGATTAAAAGCATGTCAACTTACCTACAACTATAAGTCCCTTACGTGCTCTTGTCAAGGCCACATTTGCTTGATGGTCGTCAGTGATAAAACCAAGGTTCTGTTTACACCAACCCAATGTAGGCCTTGGTTCTATTCTATAATGTGGTAAAGACCTAACCAGGCTCATAATAACATAGTCCCATTCACCTCCTTTCGATAAAAAAAAATATATATTATATGATCTTAATTATTTGAGTATTTAACTTGATAACTTACGTATACTAGACTGTTCTCGAGAGACTGTTCTTAAATAAAAGATAGGTATTGAAAGATTGGAAATTAACAAATCACTTTAAAACAACCAAATATTGAAAAACCGGGAGTTAGACTTGGGTGCTCATAAATATAAATTAGAGAAAACCCAGTTTACCGGTACTAAAATCACATAAATCCATTTAGAAGACACAAATATAATATAAAAAAACGAAGTTGAAAGGGCGCTAGAGCAAATGCGTCGACAGGGTAAGCATCTAATGCTATGCATGCACCCCCGTCATGTAAACCCATCTGTCAAAATCTCGCAATCGGGAATAGGGCATAATCGGGTAAATATACAAATCACACCACTTAACTGGTATTTAAAGATATCAGACCGAGAAAACATGCGCTAATGAGTTGAGATACATAGATAACATATGTCTTGTTCAACCAAATTCATCGTGCATAGCATACTAAGAGCTATATTGCAAAAAAAGGCTCTACTATAAATACAACTTAAGCAATCAACTGTTGTCACGATGTTGAGATGATAAAATGGGCATATAAATGTTAAGCAAAAGCGATAATGATGACAATCAAATTAATCTCCATTTTAACAATTGTAAATTTTGCATGATTATAAGACTCGAAGGCAATCATAAGATAATCAAGAAGAAACTATATTTTTCTGTTCAACATATTTGTTCACCATTAATTCTTTATGTTTCATAAAAGTGTAAATTGAGTCCTTTAAATCATATCATCTTACAGCATGTTCTACATAGTATATTAATATAAATTATCTGTTAATAAATATTTTTCGAAATGCTAAGGATTTTCTACCCTAGAAATAGAAATTCGGAATTCTAGGTCATCAATGATCTAACAACATTGTACTTTATTCGGCCTTTTTAATTTTTTTATTCGAGCGTTACTGATGAGTATTTTGTAAACGAAACGCTCGTTTGGCGTAAAAAATGTTAATAATTGTATCTATCTGTGAAAAGTTTATTTGCAGTATATTGTATTTAGTGTATAGTTAGGCTTGTGTTTGCTTAGAGATATGTGTAATATTGTGTTATCTTCATTAAATATTGCATCGCACAGAAAATAATAAGTTAATGCGAGCAATTCTAGTCTAATTTATGATTTGCCTCTTATGTAGCCATGTTTATAGATTAGAAATTTTTTAAATCGGACAAATTTATGAGAGAGAATTTTAAAAAAAGGATTAAACATCTATGATTCAAGATTAAAAAAAGTGGCCTTTGATAATATCAAAACAAAGTTACAAACCTTGGCTGGCCACAACTGTATTCACGTTAAATCTTATAAACTTTTCTTCGTTCAGAGCTCTTCTAATAGATGTACACTGCGCATTATACTGGCTCATAATATTTATATAATCAGTTTCTATCAACTCTTCATCAACCAGATGTTTAAATATCTTTACCTTAACAGTATAAAACAATGATTGGAATGAAAAAATTCGGTTATTTTGAGACGGATTTGATTCTTTTGTTTGTTGCTTTGTGCCGCAATTATGTACACGCTGACTCTATGCATTGCACAAGATTGAGTCTTACTTTATTAATTAATGGAGTTTCTGTAATACCTCTTAAAAGGTATGGTTTTATATAAGCAAGTCAATTTCATGAGCTTGCTTTCAGTAATTGCTAGAGTTCATTGATATGGTATACTATTGTTTATTATTGTTTGGGTAAATTTATGTTTCTGTACTACGAATATGTTATCTTTAAGTTAAGTGAGTTTAAAGTACCAAATATAAGCTGGTATCTTTGATGAGTTTTTCCTGTACATTTTTATTGTACGTTCCTTTATGTTACTTTTGTTAGTCTTATGAGACTATAAAATGAACGGTTGGAATATATAATAAAAAAATTAGTCCGCTACAGGTTCATGTACCTGTCCAACGTCAAGAAGCTCTTCCGGAGTTATCTTCTGTAATAACTTTAATTTTGAGAATTATGTATTGATGTCAGATGTGATAGTCACTTTTTTCCTTACTTAAAACTAATCAGACAAGTGACGATGTATAGCTTGACTTGTTTATTGTTGAAGACCATATGTTGCCCAAAAGATGCATTTTGTTTTATGGATTAGTGAAATTAAGCCATTGTCTCATTGACGTAACCCCGAAATATCCATTCATTTAAAATTGAAACATGAAAATCAAAGACGGCTGTATTGGATAAACTGCTTCAATCAACTTTGCATTTGTGAGGGCTGTAACCTTAATTTTTTTAAAAAAAACTATATAATTCATAAACCAAACGTTTACCCTTCGCTAAACTCTGCTGATCCCAAAATACTTGTCTTTCACAAATACTACCTTTGACGACATACAGCAGCGAAATAGATTCATAGGTAATGAGTTTTTATACTGATTTCACTTTGTTTGCCATGTATTTCTGAAATGACCGTCAGGTTCTCTTGAGAATATTTTGCAAATCATATACGTAAGTATATTGGTATAATTGGAACGAAAAAGAGATATTATTAAAACAAACATCTTTTATTCAAATTAAAATGACAGGATCTGTTCACGTATGTTTAATATAGTGACACTGTTATATCTTTTTTGATTTAAAAAAAAATGAATTTTACATCTACAAAATTTTATAAAAAGAATTGTATGAATAAACCACCTAAACCAAAATGGCTTTTACGGAATTGGTAAATCCTTCTTAAGAACATTTGGCAAAGCTGGAAAAGTATGCGCATGATCAATACAAGTACTAGCATGACATATTTCAAGTTATTAGGAAAACTTATATTTTATTCTTTATTTTGCATACCACATGTTCAACTTCTCCTTGGTTAGAACAGGACTGTTCATTTCCTTCCTCTGTATCAAAAGGGAGATAATTCTCCCTACCCTCAACATGGCAAAATATTACAGGAATATTTTTGTTTATCCAAGATCTGAGAGGAATTTCGGTCATCCATTTTTTTGATCGCCGTGTAATCAATTTATTGATATAGAACTGCTTTGAAGGAAAAGCACAAATTTCAGGATTCTGTAAAAAAAAAATTGAAACCAACGACAATATATATATTATAGATACATCAAGGCATCATGATTACATTTTACAGGATGGACATACTTTTTTTTGAAGACCAAATAATTTTGACAAAATATACTGCGTTGTAAGTGAATTAGACAGCTAGCTTAAAACGTTGACAATGTATTTAATACACCAGTAAGTAGTAAATATGTATTAAGTGCTTAGAAAATCAACCTAACAATGTTAGATTAGTTCTTTTTCTTTACAACCTCCCCATCCGGGGCGGAAACTTATAATTTGTTCTCTAATTTCTATGGCAACACCGCCTAGCATTGCACAGTCGCCTTATCCCCTCCTCTTATTGTAGATGATAGATATAATTATATATACATAACAAAAGTCAATAACCAACAGCAGTGTCGTCAGTGCAATTGTCAAATTATCACCTGAAGATTGCCAAAATGCATGAAAGCGCTAGTGACATTAGTTTAACGAACTTTTATTATTTGATGACAAATGAAGTCTTTTCGAATTGTAAATTTTATATATATATAAGAGTCTATCCTAAATTGAGGTAAATTGTATGGCTTCCCAAATACCGTTTCGATTCCTAACATCACTGAAGAGACATTAATTGTCGAAATCCGGATATGGTGTACAAAAACCTTTGCACCTTTTGTTTGCGGTATACCATCTTTTCCGCAAGTTAATTGTTTTCTGTTTAGTATTAAATTTTTAATTAAGATCCATTTATTACATCGGTGATGCGTTTATTCGGCAATCGCCAATGGCAGTCAGCAGGGTTAAAGAACATTTGTTGTTCGACCTGTTAGTCAAATGCGTTTTGTTAAAATATACTTTTTCACTTTTTTGGTCTTTTGGAAAATGTTGTTTGTGCTGTATTTGGACCCCTCTAACAAGAAATTTCTTTTGCATGCACACGTATAAAAATTGCGGTTTTTATCCAACGCAATCATAGGTTTGAACGTTGTTTTCAATTTAGACTTGTTTATATATATATATTTATATATATATATATATATATATAAACGCCTAAAAAGTGTACACAACAACACCAATAACAAAAAAAGGAACTATAAATGTAATTATTTATAAATATTTCGGATAACAGATATCCTTCATCAGTAAATATGATTGTGATGTTGAATGAATCATATATCAGTCTACTTAGATTAAACTATACCAATCTTGAAATTTATACAATAAAAATGTCAAACCGAACATCAGGTAAGACGCTTGCACAATTCTAAATATGTGTTAAACACGACATAGGTTATATGACTAATTACAACAGAGAGTTCAAATATATGCTTTAAATAAAAATAAAAATGTGCGATATGAACTAGCACAATTCTAAAGCTTTAACGGTGACGACAGTTATGATGTTACAAGAACGATTGCGTCAATAAGAATTCCAAATAAACAGCACTGAACGATCTAAATTTGTAAATATTTCAAATTTGACAACGGTAGAGTAGTTGCAACAGAGTCTGCGTATTTCTATTTCTTTACCTTAATCATCTCTCAAATAAATCTGTTGAATATACCAATTTAAATTGCTTAATTTTTTGAGGGATGTAAAAGTACCAAGCCACGTTCAACTAGTTAACCTTAGTCAAAATTTATTATTATATTTTAACGGCCGTTTGTTTGCGATGTTTAAATACGCAGACTCTGTTGCAACTACTCTACCGTTGTCAAATTTGAAATATTTACAAATTTAGATCGTTCAGTGCTGTTTATTTGGAATTCTTATTGACGCAATCGTTCTTGTAACATCATAACTGTCGTCACCGTTAAAGCTTTAGAATTGTGCTAGTTCATATCGCACATTTTTATTTTTATTTAAAGCATATATTTGAACTCTCTGTTGTAATTAGTCATATAACCTATGTCGTGTTTAACACATATTTAGAATTGTGCAAGCGTCTTACCTGATGTTCGGTTTGACATTTTTATTGTATAAATTTCAAGATTGGTATAGTTTAATCTAAGTAGACTGATATATGATTCATTCAACATCACAATCATATTTACTGATGAAGGATATCTGTTATCCGAAATATTTATAAATAATTACATTTATAGTTCCTTTTTTTGTTATTGGTGTTGTTGTGTACACTTTTTAGGCGTTTATATAATTTATTTATTGTGTACGTGTATCGTTACTCGTAACGATCCAGCGCCCTCGTGGGAAAAATCGTTGACTATTATTCAGACGTTTTATATATATATATATATATATATATATATATATATAGAAGTCTATAAAAAGGACCAACCAGCAAATTTACTATGTATCGGATCGTCTAGAATAGACGATACTGTGCAGATAAGGAAAAAATTATATAAGTCTAGAGATTTGCACAACGATACTAATATAAGATGGTATTATACGAAGATGTTGTTAATAAATCGTGTTGACAAATATTTCGGCTTAACAAATAGCCTTCTTCGGTGTCAATTATTTTAACAATACTGATAATATGTATAAAAATAGCTCAATAATACAGGTAAGTTTTGGTCTATTGATTTAATCCAAAATCCTGAACATCATAATATAAAACAAAACTCAATACTCAAATATACGTGACTGTGTATATTTACAACCCAAAATGAGTGAAAAATAAAACTTAATATTTTTTATTGATGCCGTTTGGATGATGTACATTTAGTTCCTTTATCCAAAAGCTTTCCCGAACCTGTCGCTGGGCATCACTCCAGTGAATGTTCTGTTCAATCACTAGGATCTTCATGCGGTTAAAGTCATCAAGTGTGTGACCAGACTGTCTGAAATGCTGAGAAACTGGGAGAAGTGGCTTCTTAGAGATATCACTCCTATGGCCATTGAGGCGTTTGTGGAAAGGCTGCTTTGACTCACCAACATATTGGAGGCCACAAACCGAACATTCTAGAATGTAAATAACATTCATACTTTTGCAGTTAACATTGCAAAATATCTTATAGTTATTTTCGGTTGCCTTACTGTGAAAAGTTGATGAGTGATGCATCTGTAGGCAGCATTTGCAGCGTTTTTCATCACACGAACGACATTCTCCAGAAGTACTTCTATTATCAGACACTTCAGCCCGCACTAGCAGGTTACGCAGACTATTGGGTTGCCTAAAAGCTATCATGGGAGGCTCGGGAAAAATCTTGGATAGTTTGGAATTCTTTTCAACTGTTTTCCAATGCTCACGAATGACACCGAAGCTGTTTTTGAGAGATGGGTGGTAAGTAAGAACACATGGAGTCCTTTTATTTTTCTTTTTATATTTGTATTCTAACAGTTTACTCCTTGGAATAGTTTCCGCTTTCTGAAAGCCTTTTTGGATAGTTTTGTGTTTGTAGCCCCTTCTCTTCAAGCGGGTTTCGAGTTGACGTCCATAGAGACAAGTGTCGTGTCGGAGGGGAGTGGATTTAAGGCCTGCAATTTTCTAAGATAATCGGTAGTATCTTTGATGTGAGATGGTAAGTCCTCAACATGTTGACGAAGATGGAAGTCAACGAATTCCGATATTTTTTCCGTCGGATGACCGTTCGCTGAAACTATAGGTCTTCCTGGGTTGTTGGCCTTATGAATTTTAGGTAAAAGATAAAATCTGCCCGGTTTTGGATTTTCTGGTTTCAAATATTCTAGAGTCTTTTCATCGATGAAACCATCGTTGTGCATTTCTACCAAACTATCAGTTATTTCTCTGCTAAAAGATGTTGTAGGATCAGAGTCTAGTTTTTGGTAGAACCTTGCATCGCCAAGTTGTCGTTCAGCCTCTTGAATATAGGCAGATTTATCCATGACAACCACTGCACTGCCTTTGTCTGCAGGTTTAATGACGATATTGTCGTTAGATCGTAAGTTTTTCAGTGCAGTTCGTTCTTCATTGGTAAGATTGTCAAAAGGTTTATTGTTATTTCTAGTATTTCTAATAATGTCCGACTTAAAATTGTCAATAAATGATTCCAAGGTGGCATTTTTGCTCGGTTTAGGGATCCAAGTACTCTTTTTTATAAATTTGTAGTTGTTTTCGTCTTCTGAAATTTCTGAGTCGCTATCCGAGCCTCTGTTGTTGTTCTCCTTCGACGCGAAATATTCCTTAATGCGTAGACTTCTGGCAAAATTGTCAAGGTCTTCCGACAATTTAGTTTCATTGACAGGGGCAGGTAAAGGACAGAAATTTAAGCCTCTCGAGAGAAGAGATGTTTCAGCTTCCGTTAACTGGTGTTTGGAAAGATTGACCACAATGTTGGAGGGCGAATCAGTCTCTAGTGACCTACGTTTAAAGCGCCTTACTCGTTTTCTCTTTTTTTCAGATGGTAAAGAAGGATTGATATGATCGATGCCATCCCTACGGAATTTTCTTTTCTGCCTTTCACTCAAATTTTGAGATTGTATGGTTGTCTATATATATATACCATTCTGTACTGTGAATTTAATAGTGTTGCCTCTTTTGCATATCTTTCAAACAAAGACTTTTCTAATCCTAGTTTGGCGGCGTCAGAAGACTTAACAATTGGTCGTAGCTGATTGTAATCACCAATAAGAACTACTTGTTTAGCTCTGGTTGCAATGATGGCAGCCATACTTTCGGGTTCCGTACACATTTCACACTCGTCAATGATAATTTGGAAAATTCGTCCCCGTGTTCCTTTCAGAAGTTTAGGATTCGTCGCCATTGCTGTTGTACAAAAAATTACTTCATGATGCTTGACCTCGTCATTAACAGCTTTAGATATTAAGTTTCTATACTTTTTAACAATTTTATAATCAACTCCATCTGGGTGTTCTTTGAATTGTTGGTCAAAAGCTGCAATTTCCTCTTGGTAAGGCTTTCCATATTGCCTTATCAATATATGCATGGAAACTTCACGCAAGTGCTTGTCAGCTTTTGATCTTTCTACTCGTGAAGTTTGAGTTTTTCCAGGAATAGGATATTCTTCATCCTCAATAGAACTTCCGTACCAACGAACCAATATAGGGCATTTATCCTCAAACTTCTTTGTCATCCATTCTGAAGAAAACAAAATCATTCAGTTTAATATAAATGCGCGAAACAAACAACATTTGTCTTAAACTTAATTAAGGATTCATTCCTGTGTATGTCATAATTTTGAAAAGAAGCGTGCTTTCAATTGAAATTTGTATTTTGCACTTAAACTTACTTGCCACCAGATCTACAGATTTATTGGATGGTCCACAGAAAATAATCTGTTTCTTCTCATTGCCCATTTCCTTCCATTTCAGGTTGATTTGATTAAAAAGATAAACTAACTTGATACCTGTGTAGGTCTTCCCAGTGCCTGAAATGTACATAATTGAGTTATGTTTTGACAATTTTACGATTGATTTGTAATCGAACAAGGCTAGAACAATCAACATGATCAAAATAAGGATCCGGTGGTTTTTTTGTTTTTTTTAAATAGAAATATTTAGAAATGCATTTACTTTGAACAAAAGTAAGTAATTATTTATGACAAACATTAAAGTGTTAATCTATTTAATAAAGCGTATAATAAATATAGTTGTGCGCACATCAAGCTTAACCTAAATAACTTTCGTGTCCTCAATGCTCTCCAACTTCGTACTTAATTTGGCCTTTTAAAATTTTTTTATTCAAGCATCACTGATGAGACTTTTGTAGACGAAACGCTTGTCTGGTGGAAAATTTTTCAATCCCGGTATCTATTATGAGTTTATTACATAAGGCACAATTCCGGGGCACCTTATATCACCCCCAATTTTTGGTGGGGTTCGTGTTGCTCAGTCTTCTATGTTGTGTTTTGTGTACTATTGTTTGCCTGTTGGTCTTTTTCTATTTTAGCCATGGCGTTGTCAGTTTATTTTCAACTTATGAGTTTGAATATCCCTTTGGTATCTTTCGCCTCTTGTTTGCAACCAAAAGTTTGGAGAGCAGAAATTCTGTATATTCGACAGAATAAAAAAAGCTGAAAAAATCATTAAAAATCCCTCTGAAATAAACTTGCCTGATAGATAAATTCAGGATTTTATAGTTGATTAGCAAACGTTGTTGCCTTTTACAAATTTAAAATTCATCAATTGCGCTTGACTATTCGTATGTGACATATCATGGAATATGAATTATACTTGTCGCTAGCAAATGACAGGTGGCTCTAATGGAAAATGTATCGATTACAGAGCACTTGTTTTCATCTCGCTTTTTTTTTCATATGACATAGTCTCATTATTTCTGTTAAGTGTTTTGTGTCTTTTTTGTCATAGTGTTGGTATCTATATGTCATATTTTAAGTACATTTTTAAACCGAACTAGTTTACGTTGTAGTACATTCGGAATATGTATACATACATAGAAAATCCCTTATAAAATACTATTTACACAATTATTTCACTCTGACCAATTTTTTACCACTTTTCCTTATGATTAACGGTTGTAATCACGTGTCTTCTTGAAATATGTGATGATGTTTGTAGCCCTAATGACTTCTGTAGGTTATTTGTGTCTCTATCGTAAACGTACAGCCGATTATCAAACATCTCATTTTGTTTAAACAAATTAAAAAAAAATGAACTTCAACGTCAATTCTAACACATTAAAAAAAAATTATTATCCACTGATGGTCTTATTTTCATTGCTTATTAACAAGAGATTAACATACAAAACAATTATATTAGCTATATTTGTGTAAACAGGGGTGTACAGAATTTTACACCGGTGTTGATATTCATCGTAGCCGAAGTGTATGCATTTTCAATACTGGTGTAAAATTCCGTACACCCCTGATTTCACCAAAATAACGAATTTATTTCTTATGAAACGTTGCTTCACTTATCTAATACAAATATATTTCAATTTCTTTGGTATTTAGCATTTTTTTCCAAAAAACAATGAATTTTGAGAACACTTTTTTATTCTTTTAATTTGAAAAAAATTTTAATTTTTGGGAAATTTTGTAAATTTTTTATCCCCCGGAAGAACTCGGGTGGGGTGTTGTTTACCCCCGGGTAATTAACCAATCAAACTGCAAGATTCTTGCTTCATAAGAAATATAGAATATTACCTGGTGGACCCTGTATCAAACTAAATGAAGTTGTCAACGCCCTCTGTATAGCAATATCCTGTTCTTTATTGTTTTGATACAGTCTTACATTTATAATGTCTGGTTCTCTATCTATGCCAAGGCCTAGTTCAGAGTGAACATTATCATGACAAAAAAGTGTGTGTAGTTTTAAAGAAGTATATTACTTGCGTACTGCTGTAAAATATTTCATGTTTTATATATTATTAATTAACAACTCTGTTATTGGACTTAATATGATGAATGAAGGCAACAGTAGTATACCGGTGTTCAAAAGTCATAAATCGATTAAGAGAAAACAAATCCGAGTTACAAACTAGAGCGGAGGGAAACACATCAACTATAAGAGGAAAACAAAGGAAAACAAAGGAACAACAGGAACACTGAAGTGCAACATACATAGAAACGAACTATTTGATAACAACTGCCATATTCCTGACTTGGTACAGGACATTTTAAGAAAAAATGGTGGTTTTATGGCTAGCCAAACCTCCCCCTTACATTGCAATGTTAAAAAAATATCGCTAAAATGACAACACTACGTGACAGAAATACAGCACAAACACTCATCACAGAGAAACGCACAAACAAATAACATAATAGTCGACATAACTAGCAAACCGCAGAACAACAGCGAACATCTTCCATCAACGACAGACACCACAAACAATGACGCACTTACGTCACAAACATGCAATCTCGAACTTTATACAACTATTTTCATAATACCAGTTCAAACAATTTTCATGACAATGATGGCATTGAAAGGCTATTTTATAATTATTTGGACTACAAACGATAAGACATAACACATTATCAAACCGAAACCATAACAGAAACATCAAAAACAAATACATGAATGTTGGATGTACAAAATACCGAGACCCGTCGTAAAGCAATGCAAATTCACACTCGGTATAACAGTCATATTCGGGAATAGGTCATGTTCGGTACTTAACAGACAGACGACAAAGATGTTAAACCACAAAATGTCATTAGTTAGTTAAGACACAGACACATTGTATAGATCAACCAATTCGTGATGGCGTCCATAAAATTTACGGAGTGTCATTTTTAAGCTTTCCTCCTCCTAACTCTGTTGGTGCAGTTTCTGCATAAGGACCACACTCCTGTAAATGAAGTCAATTTAGTGTGAACATGCACGAGCATAATGGATCAATTGAGATATGTAAACCAGAGGGTATGTTACTGCTGAGAATGCGAAATTGATAATTGGGAAGTTGAAATCATCCCGTTTGTCATAGATTTTAGTATGAAGTCGTCCATCTGTGTCAATATTGAGGATCAAGGTATGAAGCAGTCCTTCTTGTATCAGTAGTATCCGTAATGTCAAGTTCACTGGGATATATAAGATGCAAGTACTGACTGAAAATTGCCTATGCAATACAAAAGTGTCAATTCGGCCAATACAGGATAACTCCTCCAATTTTGATTTTTTCCGTATTGGCCGAGTTCTGATCCGGCCAATACAGGATTTCGGAACGTCTCTAGTTTTTAGATCGAAAGTCATTATAAACACAAACTTAATGTAAACTGTCGTTTGGAAGACGCTGTTTCATTTACTCACCATAAACATGCCGAAATGTTCAGTGTGGCAAAAATTTTAGGCTGAAGACGGTCACATTCTTTTAAAAAAGCATTTTGTAAGCAGACAATTAAATTATTTCAGGTTTGGGCAACAAGTCTGTAGATTATCACAAAGTTCATTTCTTGTGGACCCCATAACTATTTTTAAAAAACAACTTTCATTTTACTGTATACTTTCGCTTCTCATATATATTTCAATCCGAACCAGGCATATGGACTGTTGAAGGATGACCTGTAATTAATTGTTCAATATGGAATGCATAAACTGTCTTTTTCATTATATGATGTGCATTTACCTTTTTATGATGTGCACTTGTCATTATATGATATGCAAATATACTTATATGATGTACAAAGATCCTTATATGATGTGCAAATATACCTATATGATGTGCAAACATACTTATATCATGTGCAAATATCTTTATATGATGTGCATTTTCCCTTATATTATGTGCAAACATCTTTATATGATGTGGTTGTGTCATTATATTATGTGCTTGTAACATTGTGTGATGTGGTTTGGTTTACTTCATTATATGATATCAAAACGTACTTATATGATGTGCATTCATCATTGTTATGGTAAATGAACATGATTACGATTAGAACGATTAATGTCTACGTCATAACTGATACCGATCTGCTTCTCCGAAATTACTAAAAACCGGGCTCAAATCTGAAGCTATCGTTAAAAAATGGTGTGAGATTTTAAAAGATATAAACATTGGCACGGGTGTAACCTTTTAAAGATGAAAAAATCACATTTTATCAAATTGTTGTCAAAATATGAATTGCAAAGTTTAGGTTTAATCAATGGGTCTACAATAATAAACATACGGTTAAAGTTATTGAATTATGGGTCATCGACAGTGTATTGAGCACATGGAGTTTAAATATTTCATCTTCCAGAGGATATTCTGCATTTTTTTAATGCCAGTTTACTATTTTTGATCTACCAGCTCCAGTCTCGTATCAGACTGAAAAATGACTTTGCAATTCAACAAAAATCAATGTTTCAAACATTTCGGAGGAAGTTAGGAGCAATTAACACAGGAGCTAGTTGAAAAATTTCCCGTCTGCGGTGAAAATATGATAAAACAATTTTTATGGCAAAAGACACAAATTAAATCACAGTAATTTTTAAAAGTATTTCATAACAATAGCTTTAAATTATCTACTCATGCATAATTATACCGGTATGGATGTATTATTGATTGATTACTTGGTTAATTGATTGGTGTTTAATGCCACTTTCAACACTATCGTGCTATTTCGTGGCGATCAGTTTATATTGGTGGAGGAAGCCGTGATGCCCGGAAAGAACCACCAACCTTGGTTAGGAAAACTGACAATTCTTGTCAATTAAGATTAGAACCGAGCTTACCTGCCTTCTTGTGCAGGATTTGAACTCACAACATAAGTGTTGACAGGCTACTGATACAGTAGTTCGACTACTTAGACCACTCGGCCCCGGTATGGATTAAAGGAGTTATGATATGAACTTCAACTCGGAGCATTACATTTGCGCACAGCTTTTTATTACGTTTTCTTCCAAATTAAGCAGCCTCAACTAGACAGTAACCCGCAACATAAAAGGTTTCGTGGGAAGCCCTCATATATAGACCTCCAGACTCAAAAACTGTAAACAGGGCTAAGGTACCAACCATTCATCTTGTGTTTTTTTTTTTGGGGGGGGGGCATGTTTTTTTTTATATGTTCTTAAAAAAGACAAATAATGTCTTTTTTGTTTCAGAATGGAAGCAAACAAAATAGTTTGTTTTCATTGAAAATGTCTTTCATATTTAGAGGCAGTTTCTTCTATAAGAAGTTGATACATAAATTTTAAGTATGTTCATTTTTTATACGCCCGTTTACGGGACGTATTATGGTATACCGTTGTTCGTCCGTCCATCTGTCCGTCCGTCTGTACGTCCGTTCGTCGTCAACATGTCGGACAATAACTCAAAAATGCTTAAACCAATTTGCATGTAACATTGGTGAATTGTTTATACCTATTGACGTGAGCTCCCTTTCGATTTTTATAAATTTGGATTTTTAGTTTCCGAGTTATGGGGTTTTATTCATTAAAAAAGGGGATTTCCAGTTTTCGGACAAAAGCTCAAAAATGTTTTGAGCAGTTTTCATGAAACTTTGGTGAATTGTTTATATCTATTGATGTGAACTCCCTTTCGATTTTTTAAATTTTAGATTTTACGTTTTTGAGTTATGGGGTTTTATTCATTAAAAAAGGGGGACTTTCCAGTTTTTCGGACAAAAACTCAAACGATTTTTGAGCAGTTATCATGAAACTTTGGTGACTGGTTTATATCTATTAAAATTACCTTTCTTTAGTTTTTAATAATTTCTGAAACGACATCCAGGAGTTATGTAACTTTATTCTTTGAAAAAGGGAACGGGTGTATAGTGCGCTCTTTGCGCAGATCTTTATTGTGCCTGGATGATCATTTTAGCTGTTCAAGTTTCTCTTTATATGTTTCTTTCTCAAGATATAAATAAAAAAAGACACAAAAAATGGGCAAAATTCGGAGATTGACAGGGTAATGACTCCTGTAAGGGACCGGTCATTTGTAACTTCAAAAAGAGGGGATAGGAGGAAGTTAAGGGGGGCCTTTAATTTTTTTGTAATGGAAAGGTGGTATTCAATATTTCATATTTATAAATTTGTGGCCCTATAATCTTATGGCGATATTGTCGTCAGCCGAAGACATTAGGTTGCCAGACAATAACCTGAGTATAGGGTTATATCTGGTCTATATACGAGCTTTTATAAGTGTTTGGTATTACTATAAATTTTCACTTCGTAGTATGAACATCAAAATTATTCATTTTGTAAACATATTTCCTTTTTCTATTGGAACTGTATACGTATACCTAACAACAAAATTATTTTCATTTACCTGTTTTTAAAGTTATTGCAAACGGCTGATATTTTTGTTCGAGCAGATTGTTTTTCTTTAATTGTTTAACATTTCATACCGATATAACATGTTACTTTTATTATTCTTCCCTTAGTTTATTTATTTTGTATTTACATTGTATCATAGGTCAAATTTATTTGTTCAGTGTATGTTCAATGGTGTTAATATGTCCTTTGATTGAGTTAAGCTATTTCAGTTGATATTTTATAGTGTGTCTTTCTATGTTGTGATGTTACACTATTGTTTCAGAAAAAGGGTGAAGGTTTGGTACCATTAAAACGTTTAAACCCGCTGTATTTGTTTGCACCTGTCCAAAGTCATGAATCTGATGTTCAGTAGTTGTCGTTTGTTGATGTGGTTCATAAGTGTTTCTCGTTTCTCGTTTTTTATATAGATTAGACCGTTGGTTTTCACGTTTGAATGGTTTTACACTAGTAATTTTGGGGGTCCTTTATAGCTTACTGTTCGGTGTGAGTCAAGGCTCCGTGTTGAAGACCGTACTGTGACCTATACGGGTTTACTTTTATAAATTTTGACTTGGATGGAGAGTTGTCTCATTGGCACTCATACCACATCTTCTTATATCTGATCACTATCAAATTATACTACATTTTGTACAAATTTAAAGGAAGTTTGGGATTGATTTTTGGGGTTATTTTCTTAACTGTTTAGTAATTAGGGACGAAAAAGGGACCAAAACAAGCATTTTTCTTGTTTCAGGACAATCGCTTATGTATGGATCTTTTGGGGGTAATGGA